TTACTTGTAAACTGACGCCTAGCATTAACACTTTTCTTTGAAAATTGACACGTTGTGAAATTCATTCAATAGTAAGTAGTAATAAAAACGAGTGTTTAATTGACAGTCATCACACATAATACTTATGTTTTATGTCTTGTTTGTAGTGTTGCAGTGAAACAAAATTTCAACTTTTTTAATGTCCTAGTTCGACTAAAAGCTGTCGCATATTAGACATTAATAGATTTTCTGTTCGTCGTCTGTGTCGATTTTTGTTAGACAGATAATCTCCGGAACTACCGCATTTACTGGTATAAAATTTTATATATATGTTATGAATATCGTATAGGTGGTTAAACGCTAACCAAACTTGGGCTAATCATCCCCGTCAACTATGTGATGACGCCACCTCAAAATTGTACATAGTAGATATGGTTTAAATTTTATAAAATAACATGCTCCTACACGTGTAGTTTATGAATCCATAATGAATTTTGATGCGAGACATACAAATTTTTGAAAAAAAAAAATCAAACCAAACGCTCTCCAAAAGCATGATAAATCGTTAATCAAAAAAAATTAATGACTTTGAACTGCATAAGCAATACATAAAGATTATAGTGTAAAATTGTTCTTAATAATTTAGCTTCCCATAAACACCAATAAATATTTTTTTAAGTTCTATTTACTTGCTGAGTGTAAGCTACTTTCATGTTTTCTCGACGTTTTAGAATCCCAAGAGTACGAAAAAATAAATCTCTCGTCTGTCCGGCTGCCTGTCTGTCGTCGGTCCTGATTTTTATTAGACACATGATCTCCGAAAGCACTGGACCGATTGTTGTCGATTTTTATATGCGTATTAGGAATATCGTCTAGATGGCAAAACGCTAACCAAAATTGGCGAATCTCTTCCACATCTACCCTAGACATCCAGATTTTTTAAGGGAAAAATTTTACAATGTAACTTTGGAATTGCAAAACCGAATGCTCTGAAAACTTGCAAAGGTTTTAAGGTTACTGCGGGCGTGGTAAATCGTTAACCAAAATTTTTTTGGTTATACCCCCCAAAAATAATGATGACGTCATTTTATAATTTTGTCGAGTAAATTTCCTTGAATTTCATAGAATTCCATACTCGAGCAAGATAAGATAAGACTAATTTTAACAAATAACATATCCTCTAAGAAATTTAATTAAATTATTAGGAGTATAAGAAAAGACACTAGAGGCTCCAAAGCACTTTCAAATTCTTTCCAAACAGGAATACCTAGAACCTCAAGATTGTTTTAAATTTTTCAAAAAAAAAACGGGGTCCCAAAATTAACTCAAAAATTTTCCAAAAACAAAACACCAAAGTTCCCCAAAATTCAAATTTAAATTTTAAAATTTTAAATATTTTACAAAAAAATCTCCATGGGCTCTCGTGAATGGTGAAAATTTTAAAAAATATATAAGAAATATATAAGAAATCTCGAACCACGAAACCTTGAGAAATTCTAAGAAATCTAGAGAAGTCTTGAGAAATCTTAAGACACCCTAAGAAATTTGAAGAAATCCTGAGAAATCTTCAGGAAATCTCGAGAAATTTTCGGAGAAATTTCAGAGAAATCTTGACAAATCTTGAGAAATCTCGTAACCTGAAAACTTGAAGAAATCCTAAGAAGTGTCGAGAAACCTCAAGAATGTCTGGAAGAAATCTTGAGAAATCTCGAAATCTCGAAACCTCAAAACTTGGAAACTCCTAGAAATGTTGAGAAATCTTGAGAAATTCCGGGAAATCTTAAAAAAATCCCGAGAAAACTTGAGAAATCTTGGAATCTTGAAATTTCGAAATCTGAAAATCTCGAAACTTCGAAAAGCCTCGAGAAACCGCTACAAATCTCGTAGAATAGAGAAATCTTGAAAAATATTGAGCAGTTTTGAGAAATATTGAGAAGATCTGGGAGAAATCTCAGAGAAATCTTGAGGAATATTGAGAAATCTTGAGAAATCGTGAGCAATCTTAAGTTATCTTGAGAAATTTTGAGAACTCGTGAAAAATTTTCAAAAATTCTACAAAAAATTCAGAGATGTAGACCTCAATAAAAAATATAACGCGGTTTAGGTCACGGACAAATATTTTCCAAATACTCGGTGTGAAATTCCAGTTTTTTAAATTAAAAAAAAAATCGACATTTCAATGGGCAACTCTGGAAAAACGTTTGGAGTTATCGAAGAAATGAGTCCGGAAGTGACTTCTGTGTTCCGAAATCTATAAGGAAATGTATTTAATTAAATTTCGAATATGGTCGAAAAAGGGTCGAAATTTGCTTACGTAGTCGAAATTTTCATTTTTCAAAAAGTCGCTTAACAATTGTCAAAAAAATCAGAGATGTAGATCTCAATAAAAAATTAGCATGTTTATGGTCACGGACAAATATTTTCGAAATATTCGGTGTGAATTCCATTTTTTTTTTTAATTTCGACATTTCAATGGGCAATTCTGCAATGGGCAATTCTCGAACAACGGTTGGAGTTATCGCAGAAATGAGGCGGGAAGTAACTTCGGCGGCCCGAAATCTACAAGAAAATGTTTTCGGTTAAAATCCGAAAATGATCGAAAATGGGTCGAAATTTGTACATTCTAACTGAAATGGTACTTAAACATGGTCATGGGCGACAGAAATATTTACTAAAAAATAATATTAAATATAATATTGAATATTAACTTAAACTAAGCTGAAAACAGTAGTGAAAACTGTGTTCCGAAATATCCATAAAAATTGAAATATTGAATTTTTAAAATTAATGATGAAAAATTTCATCAAAATCTAAAAAAATGGTGGTTCTTAAAAAAACTGCTGCTTTGTTATATTGAGTAAGTTGTAAACAATCTAAAAAAATTGATATTAATAATTCTGTTAATAACGGAGATATTATATTATTTTGAAAATGCAATGAACACTTTGTGGTGTCAAAATTTGTGCTAAAATTTTCCAAAAAATTAAAGTTGATGAACAAATAATTACTCTAATCTCAACTAAATTGTCAAAATGCTTTTAAAATTTTTACCTAAGTACAAAATGAATTTGACAACAAGAATCTGCAAGATTTTTTATTTTCTATTATTAAGTTTATCTGTAAATAAAGATGACTGTTACTCTTTTGAAACAATGGAACTAAAAAGAACAACAACTTTTTTAAATGGAACTGTCAAGTTATACAGGTGATTAAAATATTACTGACAAGCTCAAGGACACGTTGTTAAAAAGGCTCTGAAAAAATCCGAAAAAATTGGTTAAAAAAAAATCATGAACCAAATTTTTGATAATATTGAGCTTGAAAATTGAAGAATTGACTTCGCAATTTAATCTGAAATTAGTTGACAGTCTAATATTCCTATAAAAATTGTCAAAAATGACATCTGTCAACAGTAAAAAATTATGTTGTGGATCGTATTCTTGCAAATTATTATTAAATAATTAATAGTTAATTTTTTTAACCGTCTTTTAGACATTCATGGAAAATTTGTATAAAGAAATATCGATTTTGCAATTAGGCTCCGCCCTATAATTGCAAAATACATATTTCCTTGCAAAAATGTACCATTTTAATCACGTTTTTTCTTGTTGTGAGAAACTGGTTAAAGATATTAAGAAAAAAAAACCGCAAAATGTAAGTCCTATCTCAATTCTGATGATTTTTTTTTTCATTCGTCGTGAGCCAAGCTCCGCCCCAAATGCAAAATCCTTATTTCTCTACAAGTAATAAAAACATGTTTTTGAGATCGTGTTGTTCAAAGAATACTACGTACATTAAGAAAAAAACAAGACAAAAACTAAGCCCCACCCATATCCATTCCAAGCTCAATTGTGATGAAAAAATTCAAAATTCTATTTTACAACGGTTACAGCAAACATGATAGATAAATCGTTAATCAAAATTTATTCGTTTATGGCTTCCCCAAAAAATAATAATGAATAAATGTTTTTGAAATGTATGAGTATTTTTGGGAAAAACTTGAATGTCAGACAAATTTTTCATAATATAACAAGGGGCCTCTATTTAGAGTACTAACGCTTAAATTAGAACAACGACCCAATGTATATGTCTAATTAGTATGAATGCATCCTGTGACTTTTATGATTGGATTACATACTTCGATTCATTTTGAGATCACGCTGTATAAATACACTCCACTCACGTGGCGTCTGCAACTGCACGCACGATGGGTTCTAAAAGTTGCCAAGTTTCAATGAAAATGACTTTTTGTGGGCTATTAAGTTGTTTAAAATTAATTGTGGCATATGTTCTTGAAACATTTTTACTGGAAAAGCAATTAAAAGCTATTAGCCTCGATCTGAGGTTTTAAGATTATTTTTAAAGCGAAAAAAAAATAACTATATATAAATTTGATTTTAATTGTGAACACGAATCAAACTGAATTTTTTTCTTGAAAATTAGGTATTTAAACGGTGAAAAGAGTTCAGCTTGTTGCAGGGCAGAGTATGCACAGAATTTTGTGGCTAAAAATAATTCATTATGCCAGAAATGTGTGGGAAGCGTTTTGGATTTAATCTAGATCTTTAGATTCACGTTTCAATTTTTTGGTAACTCACAATAAAAATTAACAAATTTTGCAGCTTGTATTGGTATTTGGCATTAATTAGACCTCTTCGTCAATATAATAAAGTTGTTACAACACACGCTATTTTAAACTTTGCTGTTCCTATAAGTTTGTCACCTTGTGATTTCAAAACCTCACCGTATAAAAATAAAATAAATCAACAAAAAGACTATAAAATATTAGTCACGGTCCAAACAATTCCAACGTGTTAATTTATTGCATAAATGACTTTCATGATTTTATACAACTATTTTTAGCAATATCTGAGTAAGATGGAGGAATAAGGCGTCATGTATTCGAAGAATGGCTTTTTACTAATTATTACCTAAGACTGTGAATAATAACTAATGAAATCATAAGCTGCATCTAGAATTGATATGATATATGACGCTTCTAATGTGATTTTTTCTTGCAGGTGTGCCCACTGCGGCGGACTTAGAAAATAACAGCAATCAAAAGAAATACACCGTTAACAGAAAACCCGAAGGTTTAGTGATACCAAAATCTTTGTGTGCTTTAATGGCTATCGGAGCACTTTTATTAGCCGTACTTGTAGGTTTATTAGTATTTTTCCTCGTTCCTAGATGTAGCGAAGCAATATTACCTCAAGCATCAGATAGTCGACAAAGTGGAGACTTTAGGGTGAGCGATGATGGCTTGCCCTTGTATAATACTCCAAGTACGATACCCGATGGAGAATTGTCGAAAGTCTACAGCACAGCTAGAACATTACCAGACATTGACGAAAGGCTGCCTAGAAGTATAGAACCTACGCATTACAGGTAACCACTAACTGCAATTTTATTACAAAATATGTTTTTTTGGTTTAGCAAATTTTTATTTTTGTTAACTGGCTAATTATAGGAGTTGTGATGGTGTGAATAAATCAGCTGTTTGCCTTAACAGTTAACAAGTAAGGTGATAATTCACTACGATCAATTAGCTGCTCACGTACATTTATTTGCAAACTGCAGCATTACCTAATATTCAGTCAGGAAGTAATTTTGTGGTTACGTTCCAACCATACGTATTGCATATCCGCTGTCATCAATTTAATATAATGTATTCCATGATTACATTTTTTCGTTAACGAGAACCAGCTGGTAAGCTCAATATGTGTCTTTTCTTAAAGCTCTACTTTATGGATTTTATTTGCGAAAAAAATTAATAAAACATCAGTTTCGTTCCGTTTCGTTTTAATAAAGCCTGTTTACGATCTCTGTACCAAATATTAACCGAATTAACAAATATTCGCCATGTAAATTATTATCTCAACAATTATTTTCGTGGTAAATATTGACAACATAAAGTTCATCGTTACTGGCACAATTGACCACAAAATTATAAAAAATACATGTGTGTTAAATAATTAATATATTTTTTATAAAAAAAAACTGTTTATACGGTTGTGTAACTTCCTTTAACAACATCTGAGTGTTGAAAGTGTTCAGATATTATGAAAGAATTTTTTCACATGGAAACCATTTTGATTTTATATTTATGGCAGTATATTTTTAATTAAATCGCCATTAAAGTCGCATTTTGTAGTATAATTAAGTTTTTCCGGACTCCTGTGCTGTAATTGGATTACAACAATATATTTATCACTATTATTAAAATTAAAAATTGTTTTAAAATTATAAATTGTAATATTGTGTCTATATCTATATTACGGCGAATGGTTACTTTAATGTTTTCGCTACGTTTCATGATCTATGGAGTATGAAAAAATAGGTTCCCGCGTCCGTCTGTCTGTCTGTCGTCTATGTCGATTTTTGTTAGACAGCTAATTTCCAAAACTACGTTCTGTCAAACATTTTTTAGTATCCAAACGTAATTCAAATTTTATACAATAACATACTCCTGTATTTGTGGTTTATGAATCTACCTGGATTTTTTTATTATTATTATATTTTTTATCGGTTAATTCGTCTTATTCTTTAGATGTACACTGGTTGACAGGTATACTGCACTTATAGAAAATAAGATACGTGTCCTTGCTAAAATATTGATGATAAAAGTATCAAAACCATTTTTACTTCCCGAGCGTAAGTAAAGGAAGTATTGTAATCGAGTCCGTCGGCCGACTCTCTACTTTTACGTTTTCTCGATCTTTCATGACCCCTAGAAGACGAAGAAATAGGTTTCCCATTTCCGTCTGTCTGTCCGTCTGTCCGTCCGTCTGTCCGTCCGTCTGTCCGTCTGTCCGTCTGTCCGTCTGCCGTCCCGGATTTTTATTAGACAGATAATCTCCGAAAGTACTCGACCGATTGTTGTGAAATTTTGTACTTATATTAAGAATATCATGCAGATGGTAAAACGCTAACCAAAATTTGTCTAATCGTCCCCACCACTAATGCGATGACGTCACCTCAAAATTGTACATAGTAAATGGGTTTTCAATTGTATAAAATAACATAGTCCTACACATGTAGTTTACAACTCTGAATCGACTTTTCACCCGAAACGTCCAGATTTTTGGAAAAAAAATCAAAATTATAAAACAACATTTTGAAATTTAATTTTTAATCTGCTAACCAGAATGCTTTGAAATGTTGCAGATGTTTTAAGGCTATAAAGAGCATCATAAATCTTTAGTCAAAAAATATTTGCTTATCCCCTCCAAAAACTTGATGACGTCAGCTCAAAAGTTTGTGGAATAAATCATATCTAAAATGTACAAAATATGATGAGTCTGTACTTGTGATCTATCACTCCATTCATATTTTTTGGATTTGCATATACAGGGTGACTCAAAAAAATTAATGAATTCGTAAATATATTTTATTGATTTAATCAGGAACTACAAAACCGAATGCTCTGAAATCTTGCAGATGTTTTAAGGTCATTAAGAGCATAATAAATGTTTAGTCAAAATATATTTCCGTATCCCCTCCAAAAACTTGATGACGTCAGCTCGAAAGTTTGCCGAATAAATCATATCTAAAATGTACAAAATATGATGAGCCTGTACTTGTCATTTATCACTCCATTCATATTTTTTGGATTTGCATATACAGAGTGACTCAAAAAAATTAATGAATGCGTAAATATATTTTATTGATTTAATCAGGAACTACAAAGCGGAATGCTCTGACATCTTGCAGATGTTTGAAGGTTATAAAGAGCATAATAAATGTTTAGTCAAAATATATTTGCTTATCCCCTCCAAAAACTTGATGACGTCAGCTCGAAAATTTGCCGAATAAATCATATCTAAAATGTACAAAATATGATGAGCCTGTACTTGTGATCTATCACTCCATTCATATTTTTTGGATTTGCATATACAGGGTGATTCAAGAAAATAAATGAAAGCGTAAATTTATTTTACTGATTTACTCAGGATCTACAAAACCGAATGCTTCGAAATCTTGAAGATATTTTAAAATTATCATAAGCATGGTAAATTTTTGATCAAAATGTATTAGTCGTCTCCCCTAAAAAATTTATGACGTCACCACAAAATTTTGCTGAATAAATCCTATCTAAATTGTACAGAATATGGTGAGTCTCTTCTTGTGATTTATCATTCCATTCAAATTTTTTCGATTTGCATATACAGGGTGACTCAAAAAAATTAATGAATGCATAAATTTATTTTATTGATTTAATCAGGAACTACAAAACCGAATGCTTTGAAATCTTGCAGATGTTTTAAGGTTATAAAGAGCATAATAAATTTTTAGTCAAAATATATTTGGTTATCTTCTACAAAAAACTGATAACGTCAGCTCAAAAGTTTGCCGAATAAATCGTATCTAAAATGTACAAAATATGATGAGTCTGTACTTGTGATTTATCGTTCCATTCATATTTTTGGATTTGCATGTGCAGGGTGACTCAAAAAAATTAATGAAGGCGTGAATTTATTTTATCGATTTAATCAGGAATTACAAAACCGAATGCTTTGAAATCTTGGAAATATTTTAAAGTTATCATAAGCATGGTAAACTTTTGTTCAAAATGTATTTGTTCATCCCTCCTAAAAAAATTGATGACGTCACCCTTAAATTTTGCTGAATAAATCCTATCTAAAATGCAAAAAATATGATGAGTTTGTACTTGTGATTTATCATTCCATTAATATTTTTTAGATTTTCTTAAGAGGTGGTTCAAAAAAATTAATGAAGTCAATTTATTTTATTGATTAAATTAGAGGCGACACTTATTATTAGTATTACACCCCAACCAACCCAATTTGGTAGACACAAAATTTGTTAAAGGAAAAACTCGGTTGAAACATAAGGGTAGTACGCTTATTTACATCGACTTTAACGTTACAGACCTGCATTTGTTTTATGCGGTCACTTGGTTCCGCGAATGTGAAATAGACATGTTTATAATCAACCAATTGTGAATTTCACCGTCAAGAATTAAAATAAAACCCAATGTTTTATATAATAAGCGGAAGTCGAAGCAATAAAACCGATGGTCGTTTTGTTTACAGTTTCTCTGTTTGACTCTCACGTATGCTGTTACGCTTGTCATCTTAAATTAAGAATGTTTATACATAAACGATTTTCAGTTGCCTTTCATATTACTAGACAGCGGATTTTTGTCGGGCTACGTCACGATTATAGGTGGGGACGCGCTGGATCGCCGGGACTCAGTAGCGGGTGATAGATAATCACTGAATTTAATCAGTACTAATTCCATAAATATAATTAACGATTTATTAATCAAACGGCTAAGTAAATGAGAACGGGAATTAACAGCAGAGTGCAACGAAACAGCGTTATTCTAATCTCAAATAAACGAAGTGCAGTCCGCAACGTCAATCCGCTCTCTAGATATTACACACCGGCGCCGTATACGTGAGTAAATTGTTTCGTTATTTTATTGATTATAAGAAATCAATATTCAAAACGACCCAATTCATTTTCCCGAAAATTTGGGAATACAATAATTTTATTCTTAGTATTATACTACATCTATCCCAACTGGTATACGTGTCCTTGCAAAAATGTTGATGACGTCATCACAATTTTTTTTTTAAATTCCCACTACAAAAATGTAATGAGAAAAAAAAACACAATAGGCATGCAGTCGTCAAGTTTCCGACAGCGAGGGAAGTACTGTCTAAACTCTTTAGACCAATTTTTATTACTGTTACTCCATCTTGTCTTTTGGTTAGTAAATTACCGATGTATTAGCAAAAAAAGTATCGGGGTTTAGGGGTTCGATAGATTTTTTGTTTTTTTGTAAATGTCTTCTAGTTTTAACGTCGCATTTTGTTCAATAAAATTTTTCAGATTACTGCGTAAAACGTCATATTTAAACCTACAAAGTGAGTCATAACTTATCTCTTATCTTTTTAATATATCTGGTACATAAATATTGTGTATGGTTATTTTTTTACGAAATCGGACTATTTTTCTGATAGGAAAATATTTTTTTTCTATTCTATTTACTTCCCGTTGAACGGAACCTTTCATGTTTTCTTGAAGTTTCATGACCTCTATATTACGCAAAATAGGTCTTCCGTTTCCATTTGACTGTCTGTCATTGATCGTCTATGTCAATTTTTATTAGAGATAATTTCCGAAACTACCGGACCGATTGTATGTCATATTTTATACCACGTGTTTCTTTTATTTGATACAACCCCTGTATTTTTTTTTTATTATTAAAGATAAACATATAGTTCTTTGAGAAAATTTGTGTCATTTTAAAAGATCACTTATGTGAATAAATGGAAAGACTGTCAATTTTTCAAGCTACTAGGTTGTCAATAAATTACAATAAATATGAATTTTTCGTCTATTTTGTTGAATAACTT